TTTTTATTTTATTCGTTAGATATAATTAATTTTACATATTAAATAATATTTTATTGTGAATAAACTAGATTACTTGATAGTAGACATCATTATGATGAAATATGTACTCTTAAAGGATATAGTGTTCGAGAATTAGAAGATATACTAAAAAATGAACCTGAGGTAAAATTTATTTTACGATAAAATAGAATACGTAGCAAGATAAAAATGATAAAGTAGCATCATAAATAATTTCATATTATAATGTTTCAAATAATGATCCAAATGAATTATCTTTTACGCATCTTTATTTTTAGTTTTTTCTGAATTTGATACCTATTTTTTTTTTTTAATACCAGTCCCGGTCAAATAGTACTATTAGTACTGCCCTAAAACTATTTCAAACAGTGTTATCTCTTCAAAATAATGGACCTGACAGACACTCTTTTCAATCTAGTGAAAGAATGTCAGGAAAAAAAAGAAAATAAAATTTTACAAGCCAGGTTTAGCAATACAAAAATTCTATCTCGACAAGGGTGAAAGCCTTTGTACCAAGAAAAAGGAAACAACTAGCAACAGAGAAAGGAAATCCTAATAATTAAAGAAGGAAAACACACGATACAAACCTACAAAACAGAAATGAAAATGAGCTCGATAGTATTGTAAACCCAAAGCAAACCTCAAAAATTACTAAAAATCTTTAAACTATTCTTAACAAAACTAGCAACAGCTGCTGGCAGGAAATAATGAAGAAACACACGTACAAGAAGATATGTTTCTTCTAAAAAATTATATAGAAAGTATATCTAAAGACATGATAAAAATTACTAGAAGATCCAATAACCTAGAATCAGGTGACAGAAGTTCACATGATACATAGAATTAACAAACTTTAATAGCTAACATTAATACAGATTATACTTCTACCTTTAATTGTAATAAAACTTCATCTGAGAGAACTCACTCAGAGGAAAAGAGTTACATATACACCCAACAGAAATGGTTCAGTCTTTTTGCAATACTAAAAAAAGGTGTATTATGTTCTTCAAATACTTACTAAAAGAAAGTATTAGTAACAAAAATGAGAATGTTCTGATTTTCAATATTTAAAGTCTAGAGAATATATCTATAAATAAAATCATCTTAGCAATATAAACAAAAATTAGAGATGAATTTGTGGCTGCTAAATCTCACTTTACTAAGAGAAAAAGAACCTATCTTAAAATAGTGTTTAAGGATGAAAGTAAGCAAAGATACTATGTCATAGAAGGTATAGAACTGTTTAGACAAACATTACAAGAATATATTCTCATGTACTTGAGACAAATCTACCTGGTAGTTAAACTTCTGAATGTTCTAATGGGAAAAAAAAATTTTATCTCAAAAAAGATATTTGAATTGATCAAATCTATCAAATCTTTAGTATATGAAGATATACTAATCTGCACTAACTAATGAATAGTATTATACAAATCTACTAATGATCCAAAATCTGAAAACAGAATTCCTAGACACACATATGTTTGAAAGCAAAAAGTTCTAACAGAATAGAGATTAGCACCAAAAGTCTGCTTTTATTATGATTAAGCTAGCTATATTAAAAAAAAACTACTTATAATTTAAAAAGGCAATAGTTACTAAATAGTTATATAAAAATTATAAAGAGAATAGACAAACTAAAAAAAAGCTACTATCCAATTACTCAACTTTTAGTGATAATAACTTATATATAAATAATTTTGATAACAAGAGTAAGAAAGTTGAAACAATGCAAAAAAAAGATATAAATAGGAAAGACAATAATGTTATATCAGTAAATGATGAAGAAAGCCTAAAGAGTATGATTAAAAATAAAAG